TGCTTATCTATGGTTCTTCCTCCAAAGTCTGGGACTCTACTCTCTTAAGTTATAGACTTTACTGAAGATCTCAGGGCTGCCTTCCTTTTCTTTATCTTCTTAAGTGTGATTCTGGAATTTTCAGACACTTTGGAGTATCTTGGTCAAATCCTTCCTTTTAGATGAGCCTGAGGCCTGGTTTTCCTAAGGTCATGTAACAAAGGGGGGATCAGTACCCATCCTTGAAGACCCAGGCCAGTGATCCTTTCACTGCCTCTTAGTTGAGTCAGAAGAGCATCAGATTTGCAGTCAGGCACACATGGATTTAGATGGATGACTTACTGTGTATTATGTGAACTTAGACAAGCTATCTAACTTCTCTAAGCCCTACAATCTTCATCTTTAATAACAGGGATAAGAGCTCACAGGATTCTCACAATAATTGAGGGAATATTAAAATGTGTTTTCATATTTTTTAGCATGTAGTTGGTCCTCAGTTTAAATGTTAACTTTCTCCCTAATCCTTTACCGTCCCTTCCCCTCCTCCTTCTTGGTTTATTTATCTGCCCTTTTATAACCCCTGCTTCCAGACTGCCCCTGGTCCCCAGTTGCTAGTGACTTCCCCAGTTCCTATAAATATTTCCTAAGGGCCATGAGAACCTTGATAAGGCCCTAAGGACATTTCAGAACCCCTTACCGCTGACTATTGACTTTTCCCTTTTTCTTTTCCTCCTCTTCCCACCCCCAGCGGTACAGGAGGAGCGTCAGCGGGGGAAGGACAAGGACGGGGATGGGGAGGGGGCTGGGGGAGCCCCCGAGGAGATGCCTGTGGACAGGATCCTGGAGGCAGAGCTTGCTGTGGAGCAGAAGAGTGACCAGGGCGTTGAGGGTCCTGGGGGAACCGGGGGTAGCGGCAGCAGCGTGAGTGATGGGGTCAATCCAGTCTCTTTCCTGATGGGGGATGGGGGGGTGGGAGTCTAGGTTGGTTCTGTTTCCCTCTCCTCTCCCTTCCCCTCCCAACCCTCCCTCCCAACACTGCCTGGGACTGGAAGTACTGCCAAACAAGGTCTCTCAAACATCTGAGGTGGGTGTGATAGTTTTCTCTGTCCCCATCCCAAAACAACCCAGTGGTGGAACCACAGGCAAGTTCTAAATGCATAATTGTTTTCACGAATGCCAGAGGAGAAGCCTGACTTACAAGGATTGGTTCAGATGGTTTTGAAGGGAGACTCCTTTAAGGAGGTGATGTCAGAAACCTCTTACAAGGGGGGCTTCCACTGTACCTCCAGACCTTCCATAACTCTTACCCCCCATCCCCCGCAGCCAAATGACCCCGTGACTAACATCTGTCAGGCAGCTGACAAACAGCTATTCACGCTTGTTGAGTGGGCGAAGAGGATCCCACACTTTTCCTCCTTGCCTCTGGATGACCAGGTCATATTGCTCCGGGCAGGTCAGTGACCTTGGATCCCCCTGAGCTCTTGACATATGACCCCTACTTCACCTTCTGACCTTCAGTGACCCCAGTGCATACTTATATACCAAGGGGCCCAAGTTCATTGACCTCACCACTTCTTCTTCTCTTCCCCTGATATGCTTTGAATCCCATGGTCTGATCTCTGGCTCCTGACCCTTGCTGCCCCAACCCAGGCTGGAATGAGCTTCTCATTGCTTCCTTCTCCCACCGATCCATTGATGTCCGAGATGGCATCCTCCTCGCCACAGGTCTTCATGTGCACCGCAACTCTGCCCATTCTGCAGGCGTGGGAGCCATCTTCGATCGGTCAGTGGCCCTCGGCTGGGCTGGCCTGTAGGTAGAGGGGGTGGGGCTATAGGCTGGTCCGTGTCCAAGGCTGGCTGAGCTGTGACCTTTGAGTGACCTGCAGGTCCCTCTCCAGGGTGCTGACAGAGCTAGTGTCCAAAATGCGTGACATGAGGATGGACAAGACAGAGCTTGGCTGCCTGAGGGCAATCATTCTGTTCAATCCAGGTAAGAGGAGGATCACCCCTATCTCTCAAGACCAAGGCAACCTTGGAGCCTCCTCTTCTCCAGAGACTCCTAAGTTACCAGCTATTCCCCTCAACCCGGCAATCTCCCAGCTGACCAAGAAAAACCCACATCCACTGATACGCTCCCATTTGACCCCATTCCATAACTTGCCCTGCTTCCCTTGCCAGGCATCTGGTAAAGGCCCAGTAGGTGGGGCCCAGAAGGGACATTGTGTGGGCTGCATCTCCACATTTGTTCTGACTTGATTTGTCTTCCTTCTTCCCCCTCTTTTCCCTGCCATCCCAGATGCCAAGGGCCTCTCCAATCCTAGCGAGGTGGAGGTTCTGCGGGAGAAAGTGTACGCATCACTGGAGACCTATTGCAAGCAGAAGTACCCTGAGCAGCAGGGACGGTGAGAAGGAGCTGTGGGGGTGAGGGGTTGGGTGCCATGAGGGTGTGTTCAGGGCCCATGTGGTTCCAGCTATCTTCTCTTGCTTCTCCCTCAGGTTTGCCAAGCTGCTGCTACGTCTTCCTGCCCTCAGGTCCATTGGCCTTAAGTGTCTAGAGCATCTGTTTTTCTTCAAGCTCATTGGAGACACCCCCATTGACACCTTCCTCATGGAGATGCTTGAGGCTCCCCACCAGCTGGCCTGAGCCCAGACCCAAATGTGGTGCTCCTCACCTGAGGAGTACGCATCCAAGGGGGACTCTGGCCTTGGGGCATGGTGGGGAGGGGCCATGCCCTAGAATCTCGGTGGGGTGAGGTGTAGAGGGCAGAGCTGAGACCTCCAAGAGGATCCATAAACCCTCCAGGGGGTTTGCGTGATATCCCAAGTCAGAGGGGACCCCAGATCCTTGTGAGGGCTGGACCTCTCTCTTCAATGGCCTTGAGTCTCTGAATTTGTCTGGGTCTGCCATGATTTGGGGTGATTTCTCACCCCCTGCCTGGAACGATCTCTCCTTCCCCCAGCACAAAGCACTGGCCTTGCTCACAGGACCTTGCTTCCTTCTCATCTTGCCTCACTTAGCTACCCATGCGAAGAGAGAAAATGGGAACTCGTTCAGAGATGGATATCGGGGGGCAGGCCCCCCAAACTGATGGACATGGGAGTAGTGCTCTGACAGGCCTTCCTTGAGGCCTTGCCAGCCTTGACAGTAGCCTGGCAGGTGGGGGCTACTCTGGAAGAGGGAGGGGCCCTGTCACTGTCTCCTGTCCAGAGTCCCTCTCACACTTCACCTCCTGCTGCAATCAGACTGAAAAATAAAAAGGTGATGGTGGTTAAGGGGTGGGTGGAGATGTAGGAACCCATCTGCTATTTTTAATTTCCTCTGAGGATAGAGACTTGCAGTTAGACTCAAAGAAGTACTGTACTTTCCCAGGTTGACTAAGAAATGCCAGTGGTGGAGGTGGTGTTTGGGAAAGGGTGGGCCCTGAGATGGTCTGTCCCCGGGGCCCTTCAAGCACTGGCCTTCCCAACCCCTTCCCCCACCGTTTCTTGTCTAACTAGGGGAAGGGGCCTGGGGTGTGCTGGCAGGGTGGGGCGGGGATGGTTTGGTGAGTAGTCCTCAGGCCCTTCCCTTCACAGCCCTCCCGCAGACCTGGGCACACACAGTGTAGCCTGGGGGACACAAGACCCTGGCCTGAGAATTGAGGGGGGATGGTCAGCCTGCAGAGATGGCCTGCTGGGGCTGCATGACTTTTGCCCTGCAGCTCTTCTCTCTGGGGTTCCTTTCCCTTCTCTTTCACTCACACATAAAATAGCTTTCAAATTAAATCGCTGTTTTCTGGACTGAGGTAACTGTATTGGCCGCGCGCGTAGGGGGTTATCCGGTCGGGAGCTTCGGGCGCGCTCCCTTGACGCCGCCGCCGAGGTTCCCTGGGGCTGGAGAGGCGGGCACAGGGTGGGGGACACAAGGCGCGCTTTGTCGGGGAGGGGGGAAGAGGGTGTGCCAGCCTGGGGGCGGGGCCGGCCGGAGGAGGAAGAGGGGGGCGGCTGATTCTCAAAGGCGCCTTGTTCGCTTGCGCCCTCCTAGCGCCAGCGGGCGGCGGCGCCTGGGCTCGCTCCTGTCTTCTCCCGCCGCGCCGCGGGCTCCGGGCAGACCGGGCGCCGTGCCCGTACGTGGGGGCTCACCGGGCTCTGAGCGCCCTGGCCTCCTCGGGCTTTGCTCGCCCAGAGGCGGCCTCTCGTCCCTGAGTAACCCTCTTTCCCTGCGCTCTTGCAACGAGCTTCGACGGCCCCCTCATCTCCCCGCTGGATCCCTTGTCACCTGGGCTTCCGGACTCCCTGACCTCGTTCCCCCCCCATTCCCCCCTCCCCCCGTTTTCATCTCATTGGACCTGATTAGCCTACGTGTGTCGGGCTGTCCAGTCTCTGGCGATATCTTCCCCCACGCCCGGTCCCTCTGCCTCCCCTGTAACCACTTGCCCCACCCCACCCCGCCCTGCCCCTTGCAGCCGTCGGGTAGCAGGTTCCCAGTCGCTATCTATAGCCTAGTCTATAAATACCCCCGCCCCAGCCGGGCTCTGTAATTACACTGGGCGGGGCGAGGGGAAGTAATTATGGAGACCTGATTGGGGGGGGGAGGCAGAGACCCCCCCCCCCCAGGCCCGCCTCTCCCCTCCCACTGTGCCCTAAGTCCCTCCCAGGACAGCTGAAAAGGGTCTCTGGGCCCCCAGGTGGGAGGGAGTTGGGGTGGGGGCTTTGACTGGACCCCTGAGTCCTAGAAAAGGAAGCGGCAAGGGAAGAGATACCGGGGTTCCCGAAAAGGTAATCTTGGGTACAGGCCATTCAGTCTGCAAGGAGCAGGGGAGGGCAGTCCGAGGATCAGCGAAGGAGGGCTCCCGTCCTCCCACACCCAACCAGGTGGAGACTGAGGGTGGGGTTTCCCCTCGGTGGCTGTGGGCGGGCGGCTGGAGGCTGGGGCTGGGCTGGGCTGGGCCGGGGGCGTGGTGGGGGCTCTGGGCCGCTAGGGTGGCCGGGGACACACAGGAGCGGCGGCCACCGAGGAAGGAGTGGCGCCAGAGCCCCGACGGGCGCCCGGTTGCATGGAGGTGGGCCGCTGAGAGCTGTCGCTACGACAGCCTCTGACCTCCGCGGGACCCCAGCGTCTGAGGCTCAGAGCCTGCTTATTCTCTCTTGTCAGCCTTGGGGCGTTCTGCGCCTCTGGCCCCCCGTAGGTCCCTGGGACCCGGTGTTCGGGTCGCCAGCCATGGAGCGATGCAGCCGCTGCCATCGCCTCCTCCTGCTGGTACCGCTGGTGCTGGGGCTGAGCGTGGTCCCCGCCAGGGCAGGTAAGAGGAGTCCCCGACGCCTGCGTCCTCGGAGTCAGGTTCCAGCTCTCAGTATCCCCCTGGGTAGGGGACAGCTGATGCTTAGGGCAGAGGTTCTAAATCCAAGAAGGGGATTTTGGGGGCTAAGGGTCCTGGGTGGAGGGCAGGTCACCTGGGTCCCTGGGAACCAAGGTAGGGGGAATCTCTTTGCCTCCTTGTACGGACTGGGAGAGGGCAGGTAAAGCTGAAAGGTGAAGGCTCACCTTAGAGAATGGGACTGGGTGCTGGGGGTTCTCCAGGGAGAGCCGAAGCTGTGCCAGGTCCTGCAGATGCTGGGGTGGGGAGGCAGATGTCAGTATTGATGGGTGAGCATTGTGTGTATGTCTTCCTATCTATATGTCTGGGGTGAGAGGGGGTATCTGTGGGTCAGCGCAGAGCCTAGTAGGTAGAGAAAGAAGGGACCACTGGACTATTTGTCCCACTGGCTTCCCGGACAGCATCCCCTTCCCCCTCCCTGTGCCCTCCTTGCTGCCACGCGGCTGGCTCTGGGGAGCACTGGGGCTGGCTGCCAACAGGACGGCCGCTGGACAGGCTGGGATCAGGTGTCTGAGGCAGGAGCCAACTCTTTGCATTCCTGCCCCACCCCTCCCCCTCTGGCCAGCGGGGCTCCCCTGGGACCCTGGCGTCCACAACCCCAATCTTTTCCCTCTTTTTCCCAGGATCCAGAAGTCCTGGCGCCTAGGAAAGGGATTTGATGCCGGAGAGAAGGGGGCTGGGAGTACCTGGGTCCTGGGCAGGCAGGAACAAGCCTCCCACTCCTGGCAACACTGAAGGCTGATTTGCATATAACTCTACTATTCATTTCTTCTTCGTTCTGGAGAGAAAAATGGTCAGAAGAGGAGCATAAAGGATTTAGATTAGATCACAGAAAGAGGAACTTCCAAGATGCGAGGAGCATGAGGCTGAGGGACAGGAAATGGAAGTGTGCCATGTCTGTGGACTCTTGGAGCCTTTTTCAAGGAGGAAAGGAATCCTCTAGCATGGAGATGGGGGATGGTTAAGATGACTGTCTTTTATTTTGGGGCTGAGTGGCTAGAGATGGGACTCTATAGGGAAATGGGCTGGTGTGGAATTCATAGGAGTAAAAATAAGGGGGGTATTCGGGGACCAAAGGTAGAGTGTAAGGGGGGTGTTGGGGCTGCCTGAGAGGAGCCTGTGGGGCAGACCGAGGCCAGAGTCAGTGGGCACATATGTGGCCTGAGGTGGGCAGATCTGTGGGTAGGTCGTCTATAGGATGGAACTATTCTCCTGTGGGGTTTGGTGAAAGGCGGGGGCCTCAGAGGTCTCCTTGGCCTGGGGTCTCTGTGAGTCTCTGTGTCTCTGTCTCACTCACCCTTCCTCTCTCAAAGCAGCCCTTGTGTGTTGGTGTTTGCGGAGCTGCCACACTCAGGGGCCAGGCTCGGGCAAGGGGGGGGTGGTAAAGGGGAGGGCAAGGCCGTGGTTTCCCGGCTCCTGGACTCAAAGGGCCTTTTCTCTGCCTGTCCGCCCCACCTCACCCACCCCACCCAGCTCTGCTCTCCTGATCGCTCTGGCCCCTGCCCTGCCCCATGCTTCTATGAAAATTTTGCTGGACTTTCTTTGGGATTTTTCCAATCTGGACCCGATGGCGTGAGGAGTGTGTGTACCAGGGAGCAAGTGGAGGAAAGGTGACCTTTGTCTTCCAGTCAGTTTGAGTCTGAGAAAGCTGAATTCTAGGTGGATAGAAGGGATGGCCTGGGTCTCAAATCTTTGGATCCGAGAGGTGGGGGTAGTGGGGCAGGGTTGAAGTTCCAGGTTCGGGGAGCTTGCCCGGGTTTTGGGCAAGGACTCTGATGGGATCAACAGATGTGTGGCTCTGGGCCCTGGACCTGCTTCGGCTCCTCATGGCAGCTGCCCCCCCACCCCCCGGCCCCACAGCCCATCTCCCAAGCCAGGGGCACAGGCTCCTGGGGTTGCTCTTTCTGCTATCTCCATCCTCAGCATGGTCAGAGTTGTCCCCACCTCCGCAAACGCGGGCACTGAAGCAGCTTGGAGTCCCATCCCCATAGACCTGCCTCTCTGCTCCCTCCCAAGTGCCCCCCCCCCTCAGCCCGCACCTCCTGTGCCCAGAATGATCGATTGCCCAGATGTTGTTTGTGCTGGAGATACGGGAAAGAGGCCAGAGACCCAGAGACCCAGAGATATGGAAAGGGAATGAGAGAGGGACAAATAAGGGGGAGAAAAAACCATAGAAGGAGCGGGAGGGAGGTAGAAGAAGACAGAAGAGACAGGGAGAGAGGAAGATCAACAGATGTAAAGAAAGGAAGAGTGAGAGAGACAGAGAAGGGGAAATGGTGGAGAGTGGAGAGAGATCTATAGGTTGAAAGACAGAGATCAGGAGAGACTGAGCAAGACACACTGGGAGCAAGAGGGGCAGGGGTTATGTGGAGCTGAACACAGGGCCAGTGCTGCCCTCTTCCAGGTGATTCTGGTTTCCCATCTGTTCAGGGTCCATTTGGGGGCAGGTAAGGGAGGGGTGACCTTTGCCTTCAGGGAGCTTGAGCTCCAGGAAGCTGAGTTCCAGACCCCAAATGCCCCCATATCTTGGCCCTCCTGAAGGTGTGTCCCTTCTCCTGATGCTCATGGACTCTCCCAGGTACACCGCCTGTGGATGTGCTCCGGGCCCTGAGGTTCCCCTCCCTTCCTGATGGCGTCCGGAGGGCAAGAGGCATCTGTCCAGCTGATGTGGCCTACCGAGTATCCCGTCCTGCCCAGCTCAGTGCACCCACCCGCCAGCTCTTCCCAGGTATGGGTGACATGCTAGAGTAGGGAGAGCTGGGGGAGGCCATGGGGTGGGGTCTAGAGTCAGACACCATAAGGGAAAGGTTTTATGGTTCTTTTTGCCTCTCATTCCACCTGGTTGTGTCTCTCTCGGGTACCAGGAGGTTTTCCCAAAGATTTCTCATTGCTGACTGCTGTCCGGACCCGCCCTGGCCTCCAGGCTCCCCTCCTGACTCTCTACAGTGCCCAGGGTGTCCAACAGCTGGGCCTGGAGCTTGGCCGACCATTCCGCTTCCTGTATGAGGACCAGACTGGACAGCCTCAACCCCCAGCTCAGCCAGTCTTCAGAGGCCTCAGCCTAGCAGATGGCAAGTAAGTCACTTTGCTCCTCTGGTCTGCCTGGGCTGTCCCTTCAGGACGTCTCCTTGGACCACTGACCCCAGAACCCCCACTCCCTGAACTAGGAACCCCAACTGACCTTTTTGGCCTCACCTCACCTACCTATTGCCCAAACTTCCTACACTTCTGGCCCAGGGTTTGGGCTTTAGTGTTTAAATCCTTGTACGTAGTACTAGTCTATGCCTTGGGCAGGTGAACTTTTTAAAGCCTCAGTTTCTATGGCTATAAGGTTGATAGACTCATGACAATCAAATGAGGAAAGTATTGCCTGATACCTGGTGCATTGTAAACAGTCAGTAAATAGCCGCTTGGATTACTGCTACTATTATCATTGGCTCCAACCTTTCCATCAACTGCTCTCCAGCCCTGTTGACTCCGTCCACCCTCAGTCAATCACTTGACCCACTCCCCCCGCCCATGACCAGGTGGCACCGTGTGGCTGTGGCTGTGAAGGGCCAGTCTGTCACCCTCATAGTTGACTGCAAGAAGCGTGTCACCCGGCCTCTCCCCCGAAGTGCTCGCCCACTGTTGGACACTCATGGAGTGATTATCTTTGGTGCCCGCATCCTGGATGAAGAAGTGTTTGAGGTAAGCAGAACATAGAGAACAGAGTGATTGCTTGTCCTGTATCTTGTGCCCATTGCCCTTCTGGCCCTAGTACTCCATCTTCTTAGAGCCTAGCCCTTCATTCGAGCCCTCATGAATCTCTATTTGCATTTCCTATCCCCGGGGCTAATTTTCTCTGTTGAAGAATTAGGGGCCCACTTATATGGCAGGACAGCTGCCTTTATCAGTCTTCATGAGTCTGCCTATCTGTTCATCCCTCCAACCAGTCTCTTTATCTACACCCACCCATTCATATCCTCATCTAACACCCACCCATCCATTTACATACTCACTCACCAATCAAGCATTCAGGGTCGTATCCATCCCTTGCCCATCTTCTCTGCTCAGCCACTTTTTTCTTCACTCATCCATCAGTCTATCATCTTTAACCCATCCATTTATTCACTCATCCATCCAGCCACCCAGCCCATCTACCCATGCATATGAGGTGTACATATGCATGTATTCATCCATCCCCTCACTCACCCACCCATCTCCTCACCCACCCACTCTCCATCCAACCATTCATTCATTCACATATTTCACTTCCATTCATCTCTCTGCGTACCAGTTTCTTTCCTCTACTCCATATCTCCATTTATCTACCCACCAATGCTCCCATTCATTCATTCACCATCCACCAACCCTCCCATTCAGTCAGTCATGCATTTGAGCCCCATTCATTCACCCACTGACCTATCCATCCATCCATCCATCCATCCAACCATCCACCCACCAAGCCAGTCCATGTTCTCTGAACACCTGCTGTCCCAGTGTCAAGGAGAACACGGAAGAGTAATATAAGGTCTCCATTATTCAGGAGCTCCCAGTTCCTCTTTGAAGATGAGACAATAACCCCAATCAATAATGCAAGGCAGGGTATGCAAAGAATCATGTGTGGGCTCAAACAAATGTCATTGGAATTCAAAAGTGTCTTCCCTCTCCCCCATTTTTAGAGGTCCTGAGAATTCTAATCATTACTTTTAATGGAAAGTCAAAGAAACTAAGGCTTGGCCACTGTTTCCAGAAGCCTTTGTGGAAAGGTTCATGCATTACCACAAAGGGCAGGGGGTGGACAAACAGTGCTGGATTTAGAGTTGGAATGTATGAATTCCCTGAGTCTACAATTACAAGTGACCTTGGGCCAGTCATTGCCACGTTGAGCTTTCCTGAATGGAATATTTGAACAATAGGCATAAATATCCTTGTTCTACTGATTTTCCAGTTGTGGTGAAGTGGGATTATGGATGAGAAGGTCCTTTGAAAGTTGAAAAGGGCTGTGTACATGGGAGGGCGGATAATGACCTTCTCCCATTATGTCCTTTTACCTAGTTTTGGTTCTTACCCTGCATCCCAGACTCGATCCTCTGTCTCTGAAACTCTCTCTGCCTCCCTCCCTTGAAGTTCATCCTCCATGTCTTTGCAGGGTGACATCCAGGAGCTTGTCATTGCCCCAGGGGTGCAAGCTGCCTACGAATCCTGTGAACAGAAGGAGCTGGAGTGTGAAGGAACTTGGAGGGAGAGACCTCAGAAACAACAGTCTCGCAGGGCCCAGAGATCTCCAAAGCAGCAGCCATCAAGACTTCATAGGCCACAAAACCAGGAACCTCAGCGACAGGTGAGGGAGCTGGGCGAACCCCAAACCACAGCACACTCCAGGGAAGAAAAGTACCCAGATACCTCCCCAGGGGAATTCCCCCAATGTTCCAGAGCTCCCCATCCTGTTTTGGGCTCCTGTCCCCCCTCCACTAGAGCCACTCTAACCATGCCTCCCTCTCCCAACCATCACTCCCTCTTCCCAGTCCTCATTCATCAACCTTTTTATTTTCAATTAAAAATAAAAAGAGTCATTATGAAAGACTTCATGGCTGGGAGCTGTGTCCCCTGCTCGTGTCTCCTTTCCTCCACCAGTCTTCCTGGAACTGTGTCCTTGGGTTTCCCATCCCTTCCTTGAATTAAGAGATTGGGGGGCAGTGTGTGTGTGGGATAAGATGCGGGGACAGAGGATGGGCGAGCAGAGTAGGCGAGAGACAGAACCAGGGAGAAAAGTTGAGATGGTAAGACCTAGGAGGAGAAATGGGGAGGAGCAGGAGATAGAGAAAATCCCAGAAGAGTGCTGGGTTTATGGAATTCTGTGTTGGGCCCCAGTCTCTGTCCCCCTGCATGTGGAGGTACAGAATAAAGGGCTGGGTGGTGGCAAGGGGAGGGAGGGAAAGGAGACGCTGGATTGGGTGGCATCCAGATAGTTAAGGTGACAGATATGATCTGGGGTCAGTGGTCTGAAGGTTGGAGGGTCAATCTCTTAATCATGTCTACTTCTGTCCCACATGTGGGACCCACGGCCCCACCTCTCCCCATCTCTCTCCTGACCCCAACCTCTCCTTTCATCCCTAACTCCTACCCCATTTCCAAACCCCCACACCACCCCCTCCTCTCCCTCTACTCACTCTTATACTCCTCCCTCTCCCTACCGTTCCCATTGCCCCTTCCTGAACCCCAGCCCACTGAGTCTTTCTACTATGACTACGAGACCCCTTATTACGATGTGATGACTGCAGGGACGACCCCTGATTATCAGGTAAACTTGAGGGACCCCTTTATTTCTTCCCTTCCTCCCACCACCTTTGGAAACATCTCCTATGGCACCTTCCTCCCCTCTTAACATTTGGGGAGAGACATCATTTATTTAGATTATGGGAGTGTCCTCACTGCTCCCTCCCATGTCTCTCTGCTACAGAGACCACCGAACCCCAGCCGCAGGGCTCCCCCTCCCCCCAGGGGGCGTCGGACCCCTCCCAGAAAGCCTACCCCACCTGCCAAGAGTTCAGCAGCCCGGCAGGCGCCCCCCTCACCAGGCCGGAGGCCTTCTCGAATTGGAGGTTCCGGCCCAGCGCGGGGCCTGCCTCCCCCCTTCAGACACCCAGCTCGGCGGGCAGCTCCCCCCACTGCCCGGGCCCCCCCCAGGACCAGAGGAAGCAGTTACCAGCAGGTAGAGCTGGGGCATCCAGATCTGTGCCCCCAAACTGCTATGGCCTCTCCCCAAACTGTCCCCCCTCCAAAGGGGCTGCAAGATCTGAGATTACCCCCACCGCCCCAGTACAGACACTGCCCACAGCGGGGGACAAGGTGCTGCTTTGCCTCCCCTCCTGCTAACCTCTCTTCTTCCTTTCTGCCCCATATTACTCTTCTCCCCCTTCTCCTTGGGGTTAGGACCCCACCCCAGGTGAAGAGGAAGGAATCCTGGAATCGAGCCCCTTGCCACCCCCTGAGGAGGTAACTCCATCCCCCACCCTCATGCCAGTTGGGGGCAGTGGGCATCTGTGACCCACTCCTCCTACCCCCATGTCATCTTGGTGAATCAACTCTTCCTCTGGCCTGAGGGCTGTTTGTCATATCCATTTGTGGTCTTCCAGTCATTCCAGACCTATTGGCCTGCTTGTCTTTCTAAGCATAGCCATTTTTTTTCAGTGTCCATGTCTCCTTCCATTAGTCTTTGATTCTGGAACAACCTCTTCCCCATGTTGGTGTCAAAAGGTTTTCATCGTATTTCTGTTCCCAGGAGTCTTCTGTCCAATCTTGTCACTTTTTCTGTTCTGTTTTTACATCCTTTTCTTTGATTATTCTCTGGACTCCTTTGTCTACCATTATCTCCACAGACTGTCTACTCTGTGTCCAGCCCTCCGGCCACTCTTTTTCCTTCTTGTACTTCATCATTTCTTCCCACCAGGCCCATTTTTGGGGCATCCCTCCTCATTTGGGGCCTTTCATGGCCCCCCCCTTTCTATACAACCACTTCCCTTGCTTTCTTTCGGAGAAAAAATCCAGTCCCAGTTACCCCCAGAATTCTTTGGGCCAGACCCCACACCCTTCAGGTCCAGGGAAAACCTTCTCTCAGCCCTAATGCCCCCATCTACCCCTCTCCCTCCCCATCTCCGGGAAGGAGCAGACAGATCTCCAGGTCCCCTCCACAGCCGACAGGTTCCTGACAGAGGAATATGGGGAGGGTGGCACAGACCCCCCAGCAGGGCCCTACGATTACACCTATGGCTATGGGGACGATTATCGTGAGGAGACGGAACTTGGCCCTGCCCTGTCTGCGGAGACAGCCCCCTCGGGAGCCGTAAGTGAAAGGAGCTCCTCTTCCGTTCTTGACCTGCAGTGGGAGCTGTAAGAATTGCTTCCTGTTGTTTCTGATTATTGTCTATTGGCTGCAAGCTATCTCCCGTTGATGAGTCACCTTTTTCTGTTCACATAAGATGTATATGTTGCTTGAAAGGATGACTTTCTGCTTTCCCCTGCCAAGTATCTTGCCCTGTGACAACTCATGGATCCTTCTGTCCAGGGCAGTTGGGATTTTTTTTTTCTTTTTTAATCCTATAACCACTTCCTATCTTTCTTGGCCACTTTCTGTCTCAATCAAGCTGTATTTCATAAAGCTTTTGGCCAATAATCCCCTATTTTTCTGTCCATTGTCAGTCTGTCTCCATCATTTCTTCTTGGTAAAAACAATTTCCTATCCATGTTGCTGCCAAATGATCTAACTTCCTATGTCTTGTTTTCTAACCTATGGGTCACTCCCTGTCTGTCCTTTCCTGTCTTCCTTGGCCATGGCATCCATCTTGGTGACTGTGACAGTTTGTACTGAAAGGGAGTTATTTATGTATTGGCTTTAGTTTTTCATGCTGTCTTGTAACAATTTCCTTTGCTAATAAGCCACTTCCTGTGTGTCTCAGGTCATCCAAATAATAAAGTTTCCACTGTGGGCCTAGATATTTATCATGGCTACTTCCTGTGTGTACTAGCCTTGATGTCTGTGTTTTCTGGAAGAATTACCTTTCCAGGAGTCAATTTTTGTCCGTTTTGTGAACAACTTCTTTCTCTTGGTCATGATAGCCATGTTTGTTGTTGAAGGTCCACTTCCTGGATCTTCTTTTCTTGGCTGCTTCCTGTCTGTCCAACCACTTCCTGTTTGTCCAGTTCATTTTCTAGCCATCTTGGCCATCTTTAATTTTTCTTGGCCCTGGAATCATTCTTGCTTCCAAGTGTTTGTCCCTTTGAAATGTCTCCCTTAATTGTTTCCCATGTCTTCAACCACTCCCTCTCAGCTGGGAAATTTCCTGTCTATTCTACTCATCTTTTGCTTGCCTTGCAATTAGAGCTGCCTCCTATACCCTGCTGCCTTGTCCCACACTTTCCTTCTCTAATACTGCCACCCTTGACCTTATGCTGCCTTTCCCTTTTGCTGCTTTCTGGAAATTTGGGGTTGATATGGGATATGGGAAAGTTTGAAAATTCATCATTGCTGTTTGGTCAGGATGGAGGTGGAGGGGTGGATTCTGAAGGTCTTTGTTGGGAGAGTTGGGGGAGTGGAGAATGATTTTCATTCTTCCCATCCGTATCTTGGTTCTGGCCTCAGTGTTGGGGGTGGGCATCTGAGAAGCGTGGAAAAGAAGGAACTGGTGGGCTTGGAGTATAAATGAGGGCAGGAGGAAGGATGTAGTGTCCTTGCTGGGAGAGGAACTGGAGGTCTGCTCAGGGGCTTGAGCAATAGCCCAAGAGCTGTATCTTTCTAAAAACCAGTTATGAGGTCTGACTTTGGGGTATCAGTGGGGACTGCCTTCCAATTGTACTTAGAGTATGGGTGTTTAACCTCTGTAGAGTTTTTAACTTGTGAACCCTTTGAAATTCTAAGAAAACTTCTGTGCATAAGGGCATATACTTTCTCTTCCCCAGAAAAGACTTCTTAGATTATGTCAGACTCTCATATGGATCCATGCTCTCCCTCGAACCCCGATAAAAATCAATCTACAATCTTAGAGAGATGCTTATTTGGTAGATTGCAGTAAGGGTGAGGTAGCTGATAGTTTCTTAAAGCTCTAACGATTCCTGGAGTCAAAGGGAGCTTGGAGAATAGGGCAGGGTCTTCCAGAAGAAGGTTTGGGAAGGTTAAGGATGTGGTTTGGAATTCCGGGAAGTGTGTGAAGATCTTCCTGAAAGAGGTCGTCAGGGAAATGAGGAAGTTTGTTTGCTAAGATGGAGCTGGGAATTGGAGGTGGAGAGCTCTGAGGTCTCCTTGGAAGACCTAGGAGGTCTGTGAAGAGGCAGTCACATAGGGTTGGGGAGGTCTCCAGAGGATCTGAGAGTGAAGGAAGGTGGGAGTTGGGATGGGAACAGTCCTGGTGTCCTGGCTGCTCACAGGCCCCACTGGGGGTTACATGTGTGTCTTCTTCAGGCTGCCCGTGGACCCCGGGGGCTGAAGGGAGAGAAGGGGGAGCCTGCGGTGCTGGAACCTGTAAGTCACTGTTGGTCACTGAGCTGAAGGCAAGGGGAAGAAGAAAAGAAGGTAGGGGTGCTAGCATTGTAGCCTCTGACTTTCGACCTTTGGTTCTACAGGGTATGCTAGTAGAGGGGCCTCCTGGCCCAGAAGGCCCTGCGGTAAGTGTAGCTGTGACCCATTAGCCTCCATTCTTTTCTCAGAGACCCTTCTTACACATTCACCTATGTCTTCCCCACATATGCCCAGGCCTCCTTCTCAGAACTCTGGAGAGTCCTTCCAAAGCTTCCCAGATCCTCAAATCTCTTTTGTAGAGACCACTCCTCAGTCACATACCCCTCTTCTATCTGAATGCCCATACCTGACCCACTCCTTTTTTGTTCCTCAGGGGTTGATTGGTCCCCCTGGCATCCAGGGCAACCCAGGCCCAGTTGGAGACCCTGGTGAGAGGGTAAGGGAGTAGTGCGTGTGTGCGTGCGTGCATGTGTGTATGTGTGTGCAGAGGACTGCAGAGGAGCCTCTAGTACCCAACAGGGGTGCCAAGCTAAGTAATTCCTCATTAAATGGCTGATTAATGAATAAGGGGTTGGTGTGCTCCCCAACACCCAGAAAAGAGGACAGGCTCTGGTTGGGGAGGGGAGTAATCTGGTATCTCACCCTTATTTTTCTGTATGAGGGTAGGATGGTTCAGGAAGGATATAGGGAAGTTTATATTTATTCTGTAGAGAGTTTCACACTGATGCCAGGACCCAAACATTCCCTAACTGTCCACCTCTCCTCATTTTCTCCCTATTCTAGGGCCCCCCTGGCCGAGCAGGGCTCCCTGGATCGGATGGGGCCCCTGGCCCTCCTGGCACATCTCTTATGCTTCCAGTGAGTTGTATTCTGGGCTTTGGAATGGGAGGGGCAGGGGAAACTGTTCTGTTATCAAGAACCAGAAGACCAGGAAAGCTAAGGAGGAGTCTTGAAAAACCATTAACACAAAGAGATTGATCTTTGAGGTGGATGGACTAGGGCCTCATTAGAGGACCCAGAACCAAACATGGATTGTCTAGAACTTGGCAGAAAATCCACATTTCAGGGACTCTGGAAACAAAGGAGAGTTTTTCTGAAGGAAGAAGACAGAGAGTGGGGCAGGGGGCAGGGAGACAGAAGTAGAGTTTCTGAAAACCTATACATGATTGTCTGAAAACTTTCCACAGGAGACACTGGAGGAGGGCATGGGGCAGGGGGTGTCTCTGCACCTGGGAAAAGGGGAGAAGTGCTGGATGAAGCCTTTGACTGGGAGGGTTACATGAGTTTCCTGGAAGAGAATATGGACCTTTCTTTCTCTCTACCCCTCAGTTCCGGTTTGGCAGTGGTGGGGGTGACAAGGGCCCTGTGGTGGCAGCCCAGGAGGCTCAGGCCCAGGCGATTCTGCAGCAGGCACGGGTACGTAAGGCTGGAGGGGATGTTGGTGAAGGGATGGGTATGGAGGGCAAGTGGACTTTAGGAGGAGTTGGAAGGGTAGGTTGGAGTAAATGTGGGGCAGGTAAGGTCTGGTTGGTTTGGGGCTGAAAGGGAAGTAGGTTGGGGAGAATACAAGGCAATGGAATGAGAATTAAGAGTGGAAAGCTGAGGGGCACCTGGGTGGCTCAGTGCATTAATCTCTGCCTTTAAAGTCTCAGGTTATGATCTCTCTCAGGGTTCTGGGATCAAGCCCGCATCAGGTTCTCTGCTCAGCAGGGCACCTGCTTCCCCCTGCCTCCACCCTCTGCCTGCCTCTCTGCCTACTGGTGATCTCTCTGTCAAATAAATAGTAAAATCTTAAAAAAAAAAAAAAAAAGAGTGGAAAGCTGAATTTGGAGCGTGTGCTGGGGTTGGGAGTTCTCCTGATGCCTCTTCCTCAGATCTGCCGTGTCCCTTGCTCCCCTAGCTGGCGCTCCGGGGACCCCCTGGCCCCATGGGATACACAGGCCGCCCTGGACCCTTGGTGAGTTTGTTTGATATTGGGGTAGAGAGTTCTTTATTTGTGTGTGTGGGTATGGATAATTCTGGAAAGGGACCAAGTTAAAAGTTATTTTGCGGGGCACCTGGGTGGCTCAGTTGGTGGCTCAGTTTGGCTCACGTCATGATCCCGGAGTCCTGGGATCGAGTCCCGCATCAGGCTCCCAGCTCCTTGGGGAGTCTGCTTCTCCCTCTGACCTTCTCCCCTTTCATGCTCTCTCACTCCCTCTCTCAAATAAATAAATAAAATCTTTTAAAAAAAAAGTTATTTTGCTACTTTTGGGGAGTGCTTTGAAGTCATTGTTGGGTATGTCCTTCAACATAGCCGCTCTCTCTTCTCTGTCCCAGGGACAACCTGGGAGCCCTGGCCTGAAAGGAGAATCAGGAGACCTAGGACCTCAGGTGACAAGCCATCTGATCCCCCATCCAGTGCCTCCCTTTCTGTCTGTGCTCTTTAACCCTGCCCTGACTCTCTCTCACCAGGGCCCCAGAGGACCTCAAGGTCTCACAGGCCCTCCTGGCAAGGCTGGGCGAAGGGTGAGTGGGGGTGTGGTGGGTGTGGGTGGGAGACAGGACTCAGAGTGTAGGGGACTATGCCTCTGTTTGCTCTGACACTTCCTTTGCACCCCAGGGCCGAGCAGGTGCTGATGGAGCCCGAGGGATGCCTGGAGAACCTGGAGTGAAGGTGACAGGCCTGGGTCCCTCTCTGATGCCTGTGACTTCCAGCCCCGTCTAAGCTCATTTGTTTTCTGGGGATGACCAAGTTCCCAAAGTTTCCCCATGAAGTGGCACCTCCCCACTCAGGACACAGGAGGGAGGGATGAGGAGGGA